TCTTTCTCGGAGGCGACGATTTTATGAGGTTTCGAAACTATCGAAAAAGGAAAAATAGTTAAATTACAATGTGAAGAAAATTAAAAATACTCCTAAAAGAGGCAGTAAAATCTCACCAAAGGGTGATGCAGTTAAAATCTTGACTCGGTCGATATGGACGAGCAAGGGAGGAAGAAGATTTTGAGGAAGGTTCAAGTAAGGGAAATAAGACAGTTTCGATATCGAAATTTCTTTATTCTTGGGTTTGGGAGAAAGAGTTTCTTTCAAGGATCTTAACTCTCGAAACCATTTAGGATGAGTTAAAGGTTTGGCGAGTCCAAAAGGAGCTGAAGGGAAAGTGGGAAGATGGTTGGGACAATACATTTTAAATGGGGTTTTGCCTCGAGGATTGATTATTTTGTGGTTTGATCGGTTAGTGTCTGTTTTATTGACTAGGGAAATAACAACATCATAAAAGGTCTCTTCTAATTTCAAGGGGTTGTAGCATGCTCGATAAAAATTTTCGAATTGAGATATTTGGAGATAGTGAGAGTATGTACCTTTCTTCGCCTTCGATTTGTCCTGCAACACGAGAGAATGACGAGCAGTCAATTTTGATTGGACTATGTCAAAATTAGAATGAATATTTCAAAACCAATCGGTCCACCACTGAGAAAAACCAAGAGTAGATAAATAGTTCGATTCAAAAGTATAAGGGTAAAAATGCATCGGGTTTTTTGGCAACAGTTTGGCAAGCTCCCGTCCAACAGTTGATTCACTTAATTTGGACCTTGAGGAGGTATCGAGGGGGAAAAAGGGTAAAGCTTGACTTAAACCAAACTACCGCGAGAAGAGCTGGGGATAATAAGTGATGAGTTGAAGATCCTTCGATTGAAAACCCGATACCAGAACATCTTGGGTTAGGTAATTGCTCCACACTTCGACCAATTCTGATTGTAACCCGGGAGTAAGAGCAGGGAATTTTGACTTAAACCATACCGACCTTCGAAGCTTGTCACTTACTTTCCCTTGATATACGGTGAAGGAGGTCAAGTTTGACTCAAAATGAAATCGAGTCAACAAAAATCTTAGGTAATTGCGATAGCTAGTCTCGTCGGATTTGTGGTGAGGGTGTCGAGAGGACAATCGAGCACCTTCCAAATTTAAATTTGGGGGAATGTTGGAGGTTGGAGGGATGATACTTTCAAAGATTGAGGTAAGCCATAATTGAATGAACCAAATAGGACCTGAAAAATTCCTTGAGGCTCTGGGGGCATTCAAAATATCGACGGCTTCATCAAAAGAAGTATAAACATGGGTCAATAACAACTTTGCTAAACAAATCCGTGGTTGGCCAGTGTGGAGGAGATAGGCAAGATTATAAAGGTGGGACGAGATCTGGATGGATCGAGGGCAAAAAACGTGGGTGCAAAGCCAATACACCAGGAATGCCACATGCTCTTCATCAGAAACAGTTACTGTTTGATCGTCGACAAAATGTTTTTCGAGAAAATGTCCATATGTCTTCGATTCCCAATCAATTTTTGACCTTAAAGAATTATCCAAAGGGAAAGCACCCTTATAGTATTTCTCCCTTGTGGGCTTTAATCTAGTAATTGCAGTAATTTCAAAAAGGGTGGGTGAAAGGGGACCACAAGGAAGTTCCAATGTATGTAAATCCTTATTCATAGATGGACGGCAGATAAAAACATGGCCATATCTAAAAATGACATATCACATCGAGACAAATGTAGGAAATCGAAGATCCTTACATCTCTCCAATGGTTCCCAAACTTAGTTTTAACTCGGTCAAACCACCTAATGTACAAGGGTTTTTTGTGGGGAGGGCCTGTTCGATATACTTTGGAGACAATATTCAGAAAATCAATTCGAACCTCAGGCTGATGGATAAGAGCTTTACTTTCTAAAGAAAGACTGAGGGAAGAAGAAAACGATCCGCCATAGTAGCGGATAGGACCACCAAACGCATAATTTACACTATCGGCGACGTAAGGAATAAGTACCTGGGTCTCGGCAATCCTTTGAGAGGCTTCTTCCATCAAAGGAACCGGAGCAAACTTCTTCTCATTAATCTCTATTAGGTTAGAGGTCACCGAGGAAAGTGGTGGGGCGGAGAAATCAGAGAATTTGGAGGTCGCCATTACAGTCGGTAGAGAAAAGGAAGACGAAAGGTTGAAGATGAGGAAGTGCAACGAAGGATGAAGTTCGTGGTAAAAAACAAGGGTAAAAACTGATAAACGTATTTTAAGAGGCCGAGTTAGGGTATTTGAAACGACGGATGTGAAGAGAGTAATTAATGTGGCATGCGCGTTGTGACAGCAGATGGGATATGATTTGATATTTGACATAAAACCCTAAAAACCCCAGAATACCTAGAAACCCTAAACCCTAAAAAGATATTATGAGCTCCGAGAACGTTTAAAAGGGCGGGAGTTATTTCGAAAGAATATAAAATTGATACAAATTATATTCTTTCAATGGGGCATTTGTTAGTAAAAAATTGACATAAAAATCGAGAAACAAAAGAAGAGGATTTGATGGCTATTGCTAAAGAAAATCGAGAATCAGAATCGAGAATCGAAAGAAATACAGGAAATTCGATGATCATGGGGAAGTAAAAATCGATGAAAGGTATTGAGTATGAAGTTAAATGGAAAGCCAGAAATAGTTTTAAATACTCGATGGTTGAGGTCAAGATCAAATGAATGGTTATCACGCACATGGAACGTAAGAAACGGTTTTCTCAAAACCGCAGCTAAGATAAAAATCGAGAGATAGTTAACGTACGTGTACATGAAACGTGGTAGCAGTTTTCTAAACTGCTCTTAGGAGGTTACGTTGAAGCAAGACCTATAAATAGAATGAAGCATGAAGAAGAAGGGAAAATTGGCAGAGATAACAGAAGCGCAAGTGAACAGTCTACAGGAGAACGACGCATCATGAAGTTTTTAATGCTCTGAATTTTCGTTTTCATTGATTATCTTTATCGCTTTCTCTACTTTCTCTAGTAATTTACTTTCATTACAGTTTACGTTTGTCAAACTTTAAGTTTTGTCCTTTCGATTCCTTGTCATTTACTTTTATGCAAGTTAAGGTTATGCGTTTAAGATCCTCGCCATTTACATTTCTGCAATTTTGATTTCCTGCTATTTACATTTCTGCAATTTCGATTTCCTGCTATTTACATTTTTGCAATTTCGATTTCCTGCTATTTACATTTCTGTAATTTCGATTCCTCACCTTTTACCCTTAATGCAAATTTGAGATTTCCGCACTTTACATTTTTCTGCAATTTAATATTTTGCACTATCTTTTGATTCGACATTTTTTACTGTTTTCTTTACTTCGCGTCTCTTAATGAAAAATACCAAAAATAGTACTTTCGATTTGCATACTAAGTTGTGTTGTTTACATTTTTTGAAACCATGGGATTTTCGATTCTCATGCATTTTTCGATTGAAAACCGTTTGCTAGCCTAAATAAAAAGAATCAACGTGGTTAAAATTTGGTTAAAACCTAAGTCTTTGAGAAATCGAAATCAATCAAATTTTCACCAGAAACACTTACACATTTTAAATTGTTTTTAACTTTTTATGGAGCAAATTACACTTTTTTTTTTGTTTTATATGTGCAAGAGAATGATATTATAATTGATGAATTATGAGATATACATATACACACAGTGATTTGTACACCTATGTTTATCTTTAGAAGGATTTTATCGTGTCTTTTATTTATTGAAGAATAGGTCTAATGTTGTTAAGTTCATAAACTTTAAATAGACACTCTTAATATTATGTTAGTCATTTTGAATTTAAGAGGATTGATGATTAAGTAAAGGTGTTAAATTCTTCTCCATTGGGTCTATATATTTTTATTTTTATTTTATTTTATGATATTTTTTATATTATTCATAACTATATCTTGTTTTTAGTTGAAGAGTGAGAGTAGTTTGTATCTTTAATCGGACATGAATGTTGTTGATAAATTATTTTAAAGGGTTATAATGTGGATTTTGAAGTCTTAATTTAAAATATGTAATTTTGTTTCAATAGATTAAAAATGATTGTAATATGTTAAAAATTTATAATCGAATGATTTAAATGGACTATAACATATTTTAATTTTAAGTGTATTATCATTAATTTAAACAATTTTAAAATCAATTAAAATATTTACATAGAGTTATACACTTTGTACAAACATTTGTTTAAGTTTTGTTATATAATAATTTGTATAAAGATCAAAGATCGAGTAAATCATGTTCAAAATTATCTATAGTTATCCTTTTTATATTGTGTTGAAATTTTTCTAGATGATATTTTTTTTTAATATTTATGATTTTGATTTTGATGTAATTTTGATTGGATTATTTTTTAATAAAAAAATTAGAAAAAGAATAAATTAATATATTTCTTGGTTTTTTTATCACTTCTTTTGTTTTTTTTATATATATTTTTATATTGGACTTTATTTAGATGTGTTTGAAAAGTTTAAGAATTTATTTTATTAGATGTGGTTGAAAAGTTTAGAAACTTCAATGTTAATAATTTTTAAATTGAAATATATTTTATCTTGATTAAAAAAATAATTAATTTGTACCATTTTTAGAGTTAGATATTCTTTATTTTCTAAACCATAAAAGAAAAGGAATGAGAACAAAATGCAAAGGATTAAAATACAAGAGAAGAAATACAAATCTAAACTCATCAAACCTATTCTTGAATTTCGTAACTCATTAACAAAATAGTTAATTTCGTCTTTGTGATTAAAAAACATACGATTAAAATTAATTAAATCGAAAGTTAAAATAACAGTAAACTAAAACATTAACTTTAATAAAAATAATAATAATAAAAAAAAGGGTACAAATGCACGTAGGAAACACCCACTAGGCACGAAGGAAAGGAAATTAATAAGAAGAAAAGTTACCAATCTGAGTCCGTACCGTGTTGGAATCGGTGATCTCACAACTTTCCTTGAAAATTCGCACAACCCCAATGTCTTCTTCACCAACGACCCTTCTTCTTCTTCTGCTTCCGATCATGCTTCTTCTGATGACCACAAATGTCAACGTCACGGCCACGCCGACCACCATAGAACGCTGCCTCAGATTGCAACTGAATCCCCCTCCTCCACCACCCGCCAATTCAGGATCCCGTTCAGCCCTACGTCTGGCTCGCATCGCCTGCAAAGATGCGTTTCGCTCCATTTCGCATTCCCTCCACGCCACGGGGAAACTGCCTCTAGGTTACGTTTTTGCCCTCTGTCACATCTTCCAATTCAACCAACAAAAGGTTGAACGCCACGTGGCCCGCACGTTCAGACCCCACCATTCTCACACGCTCCTCGCCGGTCGCACGTGTGCCACCATGCGAAAGAGGCAACACGCCCACACACCCTCCTCTTTTTCCTCACTCTGATTCATGATGTATTCTACTCAATATATTGAATACAGCTAGCACCAATAATTCATTCATCTTATGAACATCAATAAAATTACCTCTTCCTCTCCTCTCTTTTTCCTTCACCCATCCTTTCAAATTCGAACTGTCATTCTACTAATGAGTTGTGATATCAATTATTGTTGTTTTTTTCAATGCCATGTTTTTAATTTAAGCAAGCTTTTGTTGTTGAATCGAATGAATCAATTTGATCTGAAAACGTTGTGTGATGTAACCCAACATTTTTATGCATGTAAGTCTTGTTATGGTCCATTGTGTGTGTGCTGGATGAAAGAGAAGCCCATGGGCCCATGAGATCGAAGTTGTATGAAGGACCACATTCTTTGTTCGCGACATGACTAGGCTATTTTTTTTCCAGTGTGGTTACCACATTTTTTTTTTTTTTGAAGAGATACTTAGATCGTAAATAACTTAGGTTAGATTTTAATTTACTTAACTTAATACTATTAAAGAATACTCTTTAAAAATAATTTTAATGTACTAAGTTATCCTTCACTCCTATAACATTTCTTTCTATATGCATGTAAATGTTACTTTTCTTCCTAAAGAGTTATATGTAAAGTTTGGGAGTGAGAAAACGCATAACCAAATTTGTTGTTAGTAGTGTAAGAAATTGATAGAAACGAGGTTCATGGAAGAAAGCATCAAGCAATTGTCCAAGAAAACTTACGAGGAGGTGAATTGAGTTGTATAAACATTTTTCAAATCATTGAATTCTACACACAAAAATCCAAATTGAATTGAAACAAGTTTAAGCAAAAGTGTGAAAGTAAACCATTTAATTTGAAGCCAAAATATACAGAGATAAAAGTTAGATAAGATTGTAATGAAATATATATATTAGTTGAAACCTTAAGTGCAACTCTATAAACTCGTTAGAGTTTTTTTTTTTATGGTTTATTTCATTGTAATGAAATATATATATATATATATATATATATATATATATATATATATATATATATATATATATTTATATTGAAAATCCTTAGTATTCTCATATTATAATTTACTTATTATTTTTTTCTCACTTTCTATCTAACTAATAAAGTTATTGTATTAAAATATTTTTTTTCATATTTATTTACCTATTCTACTTCTACTTATGAGGAGGTCACCAATTAATTTCTTCTAACTTAGTTAAAGAAAAAGAAATTTTATCTTATAAATTCATCTTTCTTTTAAATAAATCTTTTCCTATGAAAAAAATCATGAGAGTAAGCTAATCTCTCTACCATAAAGATATACAGCAAATTATTAAGAGAAATAGAAGAGAAATCGATTAATGTAATTTGGTGCGGTAAAGCCAATTTAAAAATGAGATTTTTTTTTATCAATTATTATATGTATTTTTGTTCTCTATTCTTTAGTTTGATAAACATTGAAATTTTATTGTGTTGGCTTTCTACCTCATGGAGAAAGAGTAGTTTTCTATTAATAATTGAGACACTTATAATATCTTTGTTAGTTATTATTAGTGAAAATTTGTATGAGAACACGAAATTTTTTGATTTAATTTTGTTTTTAAATTTTAAAAAATAATTTTAAAGAAAAAAATGTTTTCAAAAATAAGTTAGAAAAAAATATTGTTTAGTAATTTTATTTTTGAAAACTATTTTAAATAAAAAATATTGATATAGAATTTAGCATTTAAAGTTATGGCATAATCATTACACTCAAGATGGAAACCTCCTATTATGAAAAGATTTAGACTAGGAATAGATTTGGACGAGCATATCTGATTTTACCTAACACAAATTAACATATTCAATGAAAATGATGTTCTTTTTATGAGAAATTATTTTCTATGACACTTAGAGTAGCAACACTCAAGTGGTTTCACGACATATCTAGTGGACTGATAGAATCATTTGAGAGTTTGACCGAGAAGTTCTTAGCAAATTTTACAACTAATAGATCACATCGACCAACCTTCCTCACTCACTATTTATAATCTTTCTCCTAATATAATAATTTAGTCTATGATAGCAAGATTAAGACAATGACCAGTTTTTAATAGCTTATACATGGACTATCTAGAATCTTAGAACTCGTGTCTCCAAGTTCATATGACTCATCCCACTGATATAACTCAGATAAGATATTCATACGAGATGACGGACATGAAGAAAGAAAGTTCACACCCTTGAATGTTAATGTTGAATCAGTCCTCTAGAAAACATGCAATTTGAAACTTATCAAGTTACTAGAATCAATAGTCACACCTCCTGATGTAAATCAATTTAAGCAATGTGCATGACATCAAAACTATGGCAATACAACTAAAAATTGAAAAAAACTACAAAAAATTATAGTGTATTATCAACCTAACCAATTGTTAAATGAGGTATCGAAATACTCAACTCATTCTCTATAGCAAACAAACAAGTAAAATTTCTTATTGTTATCATTGATTGCTTCACTAAGGGGATTGAAATAGTAGTTCAAAGAATTGTGTGGACAAATATTATATGTAGGCATGAAATCCCACAGACAATAATAATAATGGACAATGGAAGATACTTGGCTAATAAAAATTTAGAACAATTCTTAGAAGGATTCACAGTGAAATATCGAGTGACATCGGGTGGAACATCCTCAAACAAATGGACAAGTAGAAGTTTCAAACAAGATCATTATAAATGAGTTCAAGCAAAAGCTCAAACAAGCCAAGGGATATTGTGTTAGCAAATTTTGAGTCATGTATATATATGATACATAATTTAAATGTGTTAGGGTCATTATTTATCAAGCTAAATAATAAAGTGATCTGACTAAATTAAAGTTTTGGCTAAAGGCATATGTCATGAAAATAAAATTATGTAGAGACCATAGAGCAATTTATAATTTGATGAGGGGCCAAATTGGAAATACTAAAACTTAAGTAATTAACCTAATTCTGGTTATTTAAAGGGTCATGGTCCCCTTCTGGGAGCACACACACAGAACGTAAGTTTCAGTCCTGTTCCTTTCTTTCTATCCCCATCAAGAGAGAAAATTCAGAGGGAAATACATGTGCTCTTCAAGTGGAAGACCACAAGATCAATAGTGCTCTACAAGGATATCATCATTATGGCTAATTCAGGTACGCTTTCGCATTCAATTTATAGCATGTTTATGAGTATGAGATAATGTTTATGTTTAATAGTTAGAATCAAAATCAGGATTATAATTATTATTAATTTTTCAACAATTGGTATTATAGTCGCTCATATTTGATTCATGACTGTCTTAGGAAATATTTAAAAATTCAGATTTTGTTTAATTTATAAAATCCCAATTACCGTGAACCCTAAAAATTTAAATTTGGGGGTAACATCCCCAATTTGATTCTGCTCGCTGATGGAACCGTGGAGGAAACTATGGATTCATCTTCTTCTTCGTTTTTCCCTTTTGTTTCTGTTTAAGTTTCAAGTTTTACTGAGAAAGAAATAGTGTTTCAAATTTCAATCTTTCTTGTATTGGGTTCTCTTTGAATCTTTTGTTTCTTTTTTATTTAATTTTATGGATTTTGTTTTCGTTTTCTTTTCATGATAGATATGGATGGGTTTTGAATTGGGGGTGATGTTTGGGGAGTTGCCAACACAGAGGATCTTAGGCAACTGGTAAATGTTTTCTCAGGTGTGACTGTTCTTATTTTAAAGGAAGTTGATACTAAATTTCCTGTTTAGGGTTTGAGTGATTATTGTTTAATCCCTTTTAGGGTTTAGAGCAGTGTGTTATAGAGGGTCAGAACTATCTATGTTTCATCCCTAGTGTGATTCTAGGGAGGTGTTCATCCTTTGTGTGTTGGTTGCAAAGGAGGTGTTTTTCATCATTTGATTTGTTCAAAGGAGGTGTTCATCCCTAGTATAATTCTAAGGAGGTGTTAATCCTTTGTGTGTTGGTGGAAAAGGAGGCGTTTTTCATCCTTTGATTTGTTCAAAGGAAGTGTTCATCCCTAGTGGGATTCTAGGGAGGTTTTCATCCTTAGTAGGATTCTAATGAGGTGATTGTCTTTTGAATTAGTTTGCAAATATTAAATATTTGGTTTTGTTATATAAATAAAATATTCAATTTTTCGGTAGTTTAATATTTTTGTGAGCAAATTAAGTCAAGAAGTCACCAAAGTAACCTCTCTTGAATTGGGCAATTCATGAAAAATATTGAATGTTAGTGTTTGTATATATTCATGCGAGTATTAGTCGGCCCAAAGGAATATAAATATTTGGCCGAATTACATACACACTTGTAATGATAAACATGTGATAATTATAAGGATTTGCTTTGTCAATAATACATCAATCCAAAGACTGGTTTGTTGTTGGACGTGCTTTATTGTCAATGTTTGCCCATTACAACAAGATACCCCTAGCAATTAATGTTACTCGTCCAAAGACTTGATATTAATGGTGCATTGGGTGTCTTGAGATGGGTTAAACCATTATTTGAATATTTATAATTATTTATTTTTATAATGTGAGAATAATTAGTTTGTTTCTTTTGTTCTTAATTTAGCTGCAATTGTTATCTACCAATTTAAATTTTGTTCCGATCCTCAAAAGTATGTTTCCTACTTTGGTCTATTATGAAGTCAATTTAGCGTCAGTACCTAGTAACACTTGGTGGTTAGACTCAGGTGCAATTACTAACATCAGTGTTTCTATGAAGGGTTGTCTAAGCTACCGGAAGCCAATTGATTCTGAAAGATGGATATATGTTGGAGATGACAAATCGGTAGAGGTGGAAGCTATAGGGCATTTTAAATTATTATTGAGTACTGATTTTTATTTGGATTTGAAAGACACTTTTGTTGTGTCGTCATTTAAACGGAATTTGGTTTCAGTTTCTTATTTGGACAAATTAGGTTATTTGTGTTCATTTGGAAATAATAAGTTCAGTTTGTCTTTTTATTCAAATACTGTTGGAACTGTTTCACTTTTGGCTTATGATAATCTGTATTTACTTGATATTGTGGC